CTGGAACTCGTTTTGAAGCAAGAAAATGTTTCCACTAGAGGCTCATCTTGGAAAGTCCTTGGGGTTTTGTGAGGCTGCACTTTGAAGCAATCCACAGTATATAGATACAGTTCCAACTTTTAAGTTGATGTTTGAAGGAGACTAGAATGACATTATGTCAGCAACCTAAAACCCACCTTGTTTTGTCTCAGAATACTTCTCAGTTACCTAGCAAAGTGTCATGGTGTTCAATGTCTGGAATAAAACTACTATCAGTACTCACAAATCTCAAGGTGCAAACAAAAATGTTTGATCTTGAGGTTCTGCTTGAGAAGGAAGAACTCTTTAGCCAAAACTCATTAGCCTAACGATGCTGCTGTAATTTCCTACTCAATTTGAAAGTTATTACCTTATCTAGTTGAATGTATTGGCTGATTTGTAAAGGGCTAACAATTACAAAATACAAATTTATGCTAAAAGAATTTGTAGAGGGCAAGGAGCAGAGGTAATTAGCATACAGAGAATGCCAGGGTGGATATTTTTAAGAAAACATGAATAAAAGGAAAACAACTTTGTCAGAAGTCGGCTCTTCTGTTTGGGATTTTTCTTTTATTCTAGGAAGGAGCCAGATAAAGTTGGATGAGTTCATCAGCTGTATTATATTCAGCCCTTCTTTAGGTAGGAAATCTTGAAGCATAGTTGTTATTTGCTCAAAAATCAAGCAACAAATTTTGATAGTTGGGTGGAATCGAAACTTGAGCATTTGGTATTTGGTTTATTCTTTACTCCCTTAGAAGAGCCATCGACGAATTTTATGGAACCAACCTTCACTTCTGCTTGGGGGCTTCAAAGCATGCAGCAGAGACTCCGAGGCTGGCCTTCATAGTATATTTATTGGGCTCAAAATTTTTACCTTTAATACGCTCGCTGCCTCATCAAAGTCTCCTTAGATGGGAATTGTGACTCAAGAATATTTTACACACAAATTGTAGTCAACACACCTACTTTCCAGAATGCCTTTGCTGCTGCTTCAAAGCATGCAGCAGAGACTCCGAGGCTGGCCTTCATAGTATATTTATTGGGCTCAAAATTTTTACCTTTAATACGCTCGCTGCCTCATCAAAGTCTCCTTAGATGGGAATTGTGACTCAAGAATATTTTACACACAAATTGTAGTCAAATATGCATTTAGGGAAAAATCTGTTGCATTCATTTGCTGGATAATAAAATACTTTGGGGACATTCAGGTAAATCTAAGTGCTTTTATTTATGACCATTTCACTGAAACTTTGTAAAACACAAATCCATATGGGAGAACACAGTTAAACCCAAGAAGACAACCAACGTTGTTTCCATTCAAAGTTGTAAAAGTTCAGTTTGCCACATCAATTTCTGGTACATTTAGTGTTTCATCACAGTTTAAATGATACCTTGAAACTGTTGGTTTTAATTTGACTTTGCCTCTTGTTTATTGACCTGAAGTGGGGAAAACTTGGATGTTGCAGTTCTTCTGCAAAGGGCTATTCAGCAAACGTCTGGCTGTGTTATAGGTCCCTAGTTTTCTCCTCAAGGAAAGTTGAAAGTAAATGCTTTGAGAATTGTTCATTCTTTATATATTAAAAAAAAACAAAACCAAAAAACCAAACCTTTTTCTGTTACTGCAATCAAAATAAAGTTGTATAGATATATAAAGACAAAAGAACTTCTAGTTTTAAGCTTCAGACACTGAAATTACTAGTATCGTTAATGTTTAATACCTCTATGTCTCTCGCTGGTGCTGTGGACTGTTCCCTTTTTCTACTCAATTAAGCAGTAAGTTTCGCAGTGTAGTTACCATTGAAGTCCTACAAGTCCAACTGTTGTCACTGGACAAAACTTTTACCTGCTCTGAAAAGGCTTTACTAAAGCGAAGATGTACTATTTTGGGCCATAAGCTCTGGGTACAATGAAATTCTCCAGACCACAGATCCAAATACCCTACCTAGGAGATGCACAGCAAATTTCAGTCATGGGAAGGAAGCCTCTCCTACCTACATGAAGACATCTGTTGTACAAAGCATATTTATTTGAGCCTTCTGGAAAGAACTAGGATCTCCTCCTAAGCCTTGCAAAGCTTTGTGGTTTTCCCATCCAGTTTCATTGGAATGTTAGTGAAGTTCTGGCCTTGCTTCTTCTCCAATTTTAAATTTTCTGAACCTTCTGTTAGGGTACTACAGTAGTTACTCTGAAATCACCTTCAGAGAACTTGTCCTACATCTTATGACACTGTACATCATTACAAGCCAAAAAAAAAGAGTTTCTTCTTCAACTCTTAGAAAATACTTTTTCTTTCTTAGTTTGGGATAGATTAAATTCCGGTCTGGTATTTTCTTAGGAGCTCTGACTGGTTAATCACACTGTCTGTTCCAAGTACACTATTATTTTCTCACGTCTACGAGATGGAAATTGCCCGCTAACTAAATGGAGATAAGCCAAAAACTTTTTCTCAAGGATATTTCCATTGGCCTCCAGCCTCAGCCTGTCACTTCACTCCAAGTTCTTTCCTCATAAAAAACGGCCAGTGCTTCCATAGGTGTTGGAATGTTACCTTGCTGTCTTCCTGACTGCAGGCAATCGAGCAATCGTCTAGCAGAGGTAGAGAATGTGTCTGCTGTGCCTCTACTTCAATCCATGCCTTTTATTCTGAAAAAGTCTCGTTTCCTTTCTGTTGACAAAGCAAAAAGAACATCATCCTGGGCTCACAAAAATGATGAAGAAATGTTTCAGAAAGGGTTGCTTCACCACTGTAGGGCAGCATATAGCCGCACAACTTGTGCTGTGCTGCAGTCAGGTGGTGGTGTATATTTTCTATACTGAAATTTTAAGTGTAGGGAGCACTTTAACTCGTACAGTGACCACACTTGAACGAGGACTGCATCTCTTGAAGATCCTAGGACAACTTACTTCTAAACAGAGTTTTTTGGCCTTTCCTACCAAGCAATTTCATGGACTGCATGGAAAATTATGTAATTTCTTTTCACTGTTTTTCAGTTAGAAACTGAATGAGAATAAAGAACCTTTTAAATAATTAATCAGCAATGCCCTTGGCTGCCCTCCAAATCCCAGAACACACCCTCACCCTCGGCTTTCTCGCAGTTAAACTCTCATATAACTGAAGAACAGGAGTTGATCTGAAGAGAGACAAAGGGACTCTGTTTCTCTCACATGGTCTCCATTTCAGTCATGCCCATCTCCTTGCCTAAGGTCAGATTGTATGATCAGTTTTCCTTTTAGACTTATCCCCTTTCCGTTTGTCTGTAACATCCTAGTGCCTCCCTTCACTGGGGGCCCTCTTGGCCGGTTGCCTTTGGTCAGCACCCCAGCTCAGCCGGTCTCCTTCGGGACCCTCTCTCCCAGCACCCCCAGGAAGGGTGATACAAAGGTCCGGAGGTTAGCACAACCGCTGCTCTGGGGATCCAGCTTCATGTACAGGGGAACAAAGCCTGTGCAAGAGGCTGCCCTGCGTGGTTACGGGCGGCCCAAGAGCCTCAGGAACAGGGAACTTGGTTCATACAGCACCCACCTCTCTGCTGCCCAGAATTGAAACTGCAAACTCTAATGCCAATAGTGTTATTTATAAGAACTACAGTGGGTTTACTAAGATTTTTTTAAATTAAAAACGTCAGGATTTTGTCTTAGGCCAAATGTAACCTGCCGAAAAAAATTGTTTGCAATGAGAAAAGGCAGAAACATTATTTAATGTTATTCTCTGGCAAGTTTTGGGTAGACAGAGTTGCACCCATGCTGCTCCTAAAACTTTACCGCTAAAATCTCATCCACTAAAATCTCATCCACTAAAATCGTACCACTTCCAGTCCACCAAAGTTGTCTTAGCTGTTCTTTTTTTTTCCTACTTGTGAGTTTTTAAATTCTACCGTAACACTTGACAATCACGGTCAACTTGTTGCTGTTGTTACTGAACACTTCAGAACCCTCTTCACGCTTCAGAAAGCGCAAGGAAACCGCTGTCCCAGCCCTGCGGCCAGAAGAGCAGCACAGCCAAGGTTTTTCCCTCTTCCCTTGCAATCCCCGGCTGACTGCTGCTGCGCCGGGAGGCTGTGGGAGGTTTTGCAGGGTAGGGAAGTTTGCTTTTGAATTTCCACTGGCTTCTTTTTCCCTCTGACTTTATTTTTTTTTCCCTCTGACTGTATTTTTTTCCCCTCTGACTGTATGCTGTCTCCTGCCTTGGCTCTGCGGCAGTGACTAACCGGGGATGAACCGGTTGAGCTAGGACAGAGCGAGCCTCCGCCTCCCTGGGAACCACCCCCACGGGGCCAGCTTTCGCG